ATTAATACATATTTAATCTATTGAAATAGTAAATATTCGCGAAAAGTTTTGAACGGGAACTTCGTGCTGGCCGATCCATGTTTTCACGCTATTGCAAGCTCTCGATTATCACGGAAGTTCAGACCTCGATAACTCAAAATTGAACGTGAATTTCAAAATGCTCTCCTGGAATCGATTAAAGCTAAGATTAATAAAATAATGTTATTTCACCTCAAGTGTGTGTGGCGCTAAGATTTTCTTCCTGGGAAGTGAATGTCATGGTCTCTTTTTTAATGGGGGTCTATGGGAACCGGTTCATTGATTCAGGAAGAAAATATAATGGTCGTGTGGCATTAAATTTCTTAAGATAGGCAGGCTATTATGTCAATATTACAATCCTCCGAGTGCAAAAAAATCGGCGGGTTCCTTACTGAGTTACAAAAATATAAATTTTTTTGCCCATTGAGTTAAGCTGGGGCGCTGATGTGACTGCCAAGAGATGGCGCAAGTTGTAAGCAGCGGCGTGTCCCGGATTCCTGGGGTTGAAAGACAAAATACGTCATTGTAGCAAACAGAAGAGGCAGAGAAAGCTGCGACGTTATCCGGTTAGTGGTAAACTGGTCTATCATTTACATGGTCCCGAAAGTCAAGATTCTCGGCTTCATTCAAGAAGGTGGCCGAGCGACCTAAATGACACGATCATATAAAAAGGACATGAAAAAACACCATTGGGACAATCCGTAAGGTCAAAAGCGAGTCATTTTGAAGAGGGGGGGGGGGGGGGGAGGCACAAGCGCACACCCTCCGAAGCCTTGCACCAAATCTGCTTGTGTCAAAAACCACGTACGGGTGGAACTATCTACTGTTTCTCCAGGGCTCAAAAGCACGGGCGGTGAACTCGTCCTAAATTGCGCCTAGCGTCGCAATTTAGGACGAAATGTAGGAAACACGTGTCCGATCTAAGTTCTTAAAAAAGAAAAGCTTTGTTCATTTTAAAGTAAAAAAAAGAAAGCCGGGCCGGCGCCAGATGTTCACATTCCTTGCTTTATTATTCGGTCTTTGGCGTTCCTAATTGCTAGCACTACAATCTTAATGGCTACGGAACGGCAATAACATGCCCGGGACGCCTAGGGCACGTTTGGCCGCTGATTAATTACGTCAACTTACGTGACCTCGAGGGGCGTGATAGTTGCGGCTAAGTACCTTCCGTATTCACCGGCCGCGTTTCAGGCCCACTCTTTCAACGAAAGTTGGAAAGTGACCAACAAACTTTAGTCAAGAGGCACGGCCAGTTCAGCGTTTGTTTAGAGGGCGATTAGTAGCTCAGCTCCGTGTGGAATCTTCCTCACCGGCGACCGCCGGCGCTAAGGAGGTGCTTACTGTCCTGGTATGCCGGTGGACACTTTCATACTTCGGTTCACTTAAAAAGGACCCTGCAATTAAATTTAGACGAGCTAGAAGTTTTGAAGTTTGAGCCGCAACTGACCTCATGGAACGTAGGGACTTAGATCTATAGACGCTTTGCAGCAGCTGTGCATGGGCGCCGCCATAACTGACCTTCAGTTTTTTTTCCCTCTTATTCCAATTTCTTCACTTCGTCATTAACATAGCATGCCAGGTTTTTGTCATCTTAAATTTTATTGTGTCCTCCTTCCCAGCATTGGCCTTTCTGGTGGCTTGTCAACAACCGTTTCAGTGGCACGGTATCGCCGTAAGACAAGGGAAGGTCAGCAATGGCGGTTGCAATCTGGCGCGTGTGTAAACCGTCTATACTCTGTTTCATACTTAGCGTGCAACGCTGTCGAAGCGACTGACGCGAGCGCGTGGCTTCATGCAACTATGGGTTTGTTTGCGCGAGAACGCGTGCAAATGACCAACGAGATCAAGCCCCAAGCTCGCGCCAGTAGGTTTGACAGCGTTGTACGCTAAGTATGAAACAGAGTATAGGGCTCATCTTGGCGGCACAAGCTCTCGTGCATTAAGGGCAGCTGCCAAAGCTATGGTCTCGCGCGTCTTGCCTTCGCTGCTATTGGCGACGTGCGCGACCGAAAGCGTCGCTGTGGTCGGCCTTCCACGATTGGCCCAAAAGCTGACTATGACGTCGGAAAGGGTATACCATCGACGGAAATGAGAGGAATAAAAGAACTTTAATTTCGACGGTGTTGGCAGTGTTGCTTTGAGAGTGCAATGATTTCAGGCTTCCACCATGCTATTTACAAACACCATCGAACTTGTTGTTCGCAAGGTAATGACGTCACAAGGGGGAACCATAGGAGGGCGCCACCAAAACATCTCGCCGCTAATACAACTTAAGGTGAAACGGAGTATAGTAACTTTGGCCGGCCCCCCTAACAAGCAAGCTAGCATTCTTGGCACACTCCTGGGCCGGTTTGCTCATCTTGCGGCTGCGGCCGCGGCCGCGGCCAAGAGGGATTTTCACGTCACATGACCAGCTCCATGGGGACAAGGAAGTACCTAGCGTCCCTGCCTAATGGCCGGAGAGATCCGCATCGCTCCAAGCACAAAAGCCTAATGTCGCTCGCAGAAACTGAATGCAGGGACTTTCAGCTGGAGTCCAGTTGATCGCCTCTTTATACTGTAGGAGCGGCAGGTAAAGTTACGGCCAGGGAGGGTAAATAGGAGCCAAAATAAAGAAAAAACCACACGAGATAAAAGCGGTAGCAGTATATTTATATACCACTGCCGGCGCCGGCGCCTCGCGCCTTCTGCTATGGTCGAGAGATTAAAGCGCCGGTACTTGCCGTCGCGGCGTGAAAGTTCCGGGTTCAAATCGCGCTATCCACTTTTTTTTTTTTTGTATTTTGCTCGTGTCTTACTTTCTAACTGTGATCCTTTTTAGGAAACCATCCACTTGCACTACTGCGCCTTACACGGTTTTTACTGTTAGTCCCACCTGTTCAATCGAGACACCGGGAATAAAGAAAAAGATCTACGCAAGTTAACGCGCTAATACAATCATTTCATAATGTTCATTAAACGGAAACCAAGGTGACATCATCGGTATGGCTTTCACAGAAACGGAGCCGAAACAGGCATCCCCCCTCCAGCGACTACAATTTTATCTGTTTTTAAATAACGCTCTTGCTACGATTCCCTTCAATAACAAGAGACGCCAATCTGTCAGCTCAGCTTTATGAGACACGGCGATCTCGTCTGTACGTGACCCAACTAACTCCGAATGATACGGTAGCATACGTCGTCTGTTCTTTCAAGCAGCCTGCTCCTGGAGAGGCATCAAGATGTCGACGAGACAGCAAAATACCCGTACCTTGTAATGTGTGGAAAGGAGTAGAGCTGGTGAAGGTGGTAATTGGTTGCACTTTCTATTTCAAGGGGCATTCACACGGGGGACGCCCATATTAAGGGGACTCCCCGTGTGAATACACTTTAATATTCTGCAGAGTATTAGGGGTATTCACACCAGGGAAGCTTATGAGGAGGGATGTTTGTGGCGTAAGCGGTCGGCAGAACCAGCGGAACTCCTGCCCCGGCTTATAGCGACGGCGGAGAGCCGAGTGGCACATCAGAGTTACCAGACGGAGTAAAGTTTTAAGGTTCAATTAGTCTGGTACCCGGGATGTCACTTAGGGTTTGATGGCTTTATATATTCCCAAGTAGCACTAAACGTAGCCACAATGTTACTGGAATGTTGTCAGGTAACGTTGCCGAACGTTGCTAACGACCGCGGATTCTACCGTCCAGTAACGTTACACCACAATGTTACAGTAACGTAACTGCGTACGTTACCTGGACATTACCCAAATAATGTTACTGGAACGTTGTTAGATAACGTTGCCAAACGTTGCTAATGGCCACCAGTTCTACCTCCCAGTAACGTCGCATCAAAATGTTGCAGTAACGTAGCTCTCTACGTTACCTGGACGTTAGATCAGTGATGTTCAGCTAACGTCAGCTAACTTTGCCAATTGTTGTTAATGGCCACGAATTCTACCATCCAGTAATGTTACACCAAAATGTTGCACTGACATTACGGCTTACTTAAAAGTGAAGGAATAAAAACGCGAAGAACATGCACAAACGAGCACTTTTTCATTTCGCAACAACGTTTATTTTTTCAGGAGCAAAGAGTCGCACACAGGTCGAGATCAACTAGATACCGAAGGCGGGAGGGAAGAGGGGGATAGGGAGATAAGGGCCAGAACTGGAAAAATCTGGGAACCTTGACTAAAACACATGGAGTGTCACTGACTCAACCCTTATCTTCCTGAAGTTCCCTCGATCAAGCCTTCCATTTGCAGTTAATCTTGACCTGTGTGCGAGTCTTTGCTTCCAAAAAACAAGCATCACAACTAAATGAAAGAGCGGTCATCTGTGTTTGTCCTCAGTGCTTTTATTCTGTCAACTTTCAGTAAACATTTTAACAAAATGCTGGCACTGGCCAGATATTACTGCATGTGTTACTTGGACATTATTGAACAATGTTACCCGAAAATTACTAACATTGACAAGCTTTGCCAAGAAACTGCATATATGGTTGTCATGAAGTCATTTTTTGAGCTGGTGCCTGATATGAGTAAATGGATGAGCATTACAGGCCATTAATGAATCAGCATTTTGAAGTCCTAGAAGCAAGACTCCGGAAGAAAACAAGAGGTTATTGGAATAAGTTTATTTCAAAAACGAAACGAACGTTACAAGTACCAGTGTATGCTTCTGTTTCTTACAAGCTATTAGATCTACAAAATTGTAAAGAACACGCTAAATTACAAGGCTGATCTGCATGGAAATAAAAATGCAAAATATTAAAATTCCCAGCAACATAAAGCAAGCAGCAAGCAGCAGAAAAAAAAGCTTTTAAATGATTTAGGTAACATGAATTTTTTTTTTTCAATTCCATGCATTTAAGACGGTTAACCAATTCCATGCTTCCAACAGGGATCAAAGTAACCAACTACAGACATTTAAAACTATAACAGAAAAATCAAGGCAGAAACATGCTGAAAAACAGTGCAAAATGCACGAATAAGAGAACACACAGGACAAGGTGCTGTGTCTTCTTTTCTCTTTGTCTGGTTTTTGCACCGTTTTTCAACATCAATTCTTACCAACTAGCCCAGCCCAACTGTCCATTCTTGTAATCAGAAACATGCTTGCCTTCTCCCCTTGTGGCAGCCCCTCAGTCACTCCTGGGAAGAGGCACGCTGCTCCTGCAAAAAAATAAAACAAAAAAGTTGGTTGCGTTCAGATAATGGGTGCCTATTTCAGTGCAGAGAGTGTCATCAAGATAAAAAAAAAATGCCTACCTCTGTCCTAACACAGTTTCGCCTCAGTTTCTTTGCATGCACAAGCCATTCTTTTCATCCAGTTTAGACCTTTTCCGCAAAGTGTGACCTACCCACAAGGAGTGATGCGCCTGCTCAAGCATGTTTTGATGGCTGAGCACTGGCAACACGTTTAACAACAACCTGATATGGCAGTCCCACAGAAAACCATGCCATGTGTCTGATTCTCACTCTCCTTCTAGGCCTCTTTCAACTTCTTTACACTGAAGCATAAAAAGCTACCTGCTAGCAAAACAAACTCTCTAGCTAGCTGAAGCCTAACGTGGACCTAATGAAAACATGCTAGAAAGATTTTTAGGCAGTAATTGGGGCCCTGTCCAGCACTCATTTCTTTATAATCACAACAAACTAGTGTAGCAACTGGTCCACAGGGCACCTTTACACAGCCTTCTCAGGGTGTTCATATGACTATGACTGGAATGGCACCATGAGTGCCAGACACCTGGCACTTGCAGCAGATCAGCAGTCTTATCAACTAGTCATATCAATTCTCCCGAAAACGATTCCCTCCGTCCTCATTAACAACGTGGGGCAATGGGGTACAGGCAGGGTATTGAACCTAACCCGAACCGTGAACCGAAAAAAAACGTTATTTTTGCAAGAACCGGAGTTGACCCGGAACGAAATAATTTTTCTCGCTCCGGAGCGGAACCGATATTTTTCCATGCGGTTTTCGGTTCATACGCAAAGTCAGATTGCGTGAAAAGTGCGTGGCGAAAAACACAGTAACCTTAAAAGTAAACCAAAGAATGAAAGACAAAAAAAATATTTTTGCGCAAACCGGAGTTGAGCTGAACCGAAATAATTCTTTTTTCGTTCCTGGGCAAAACTGATCAATTATTTTTGTGGTGCTCCGTTCATGTGGAAAGTCAAAAAGCGAAAAAAATAGGTAGCGGAAAGCTCTGTAACATTCCATTATCAGGTTGTCAGATAACGGTCGTCTTCATAATTTATAGTTTGTTTCGAGAACTCAAACGAAATGAGCAGAGTAACTATAAATTCTCCGGGATTTCTGGTCTTATGTATTTCTTTAACAAAAGTTCACATTCGTCCCAACCTTTTCTTGGTGACCGGAAATGCCTCCTCAAAGAAAATTTAACACTAGAACATACACAATTCGTACATTAGCAAAAGTGACCATAATGAGCCTGTTTGGTGGCAAAACGGTAAGTTGGGCTAGGTGGTTTTTCATCACGGACTGAACGAAAAAAAAGGACAAAGAGAGGTATAGACAACACCCCTAGTGTTGTCTATACCTCTCTCTGTCCTTGTGTTTTTTTTTTTTCGGGCTTAGTTTAACTTTTTTGCGTGTTTCTTGTCTCTAATTTTGTAGAATTGAGTTCAATTTACTTTAGACGCCTTGATTTCATTGTACAACTGATTGGATAAGAAAGTGATACAAAGGCCGATGGATATTTTAGAACCTGCACTAGTTGCCATACTGTGGCGCATCTAATCTGCTCTCCAATTAACTCAGCGGATTTAATAATCAGTCCGAAATTAAAGTCTAGCACCGGGAAGGGGAGAGGGGATTTAATCAACAGTTACAGTTACAGAAAACAGCAAAAAAGCTTCGATCTCTGGTAGCAGAAACAGCAAGGACCAAAACATTTTCTCCTCAGAAACACAAACATCAAGGCGCACAGCTCTTCTGAGCATTGCTAGACAAGGAGCCGCGGCTTTGAAGGGACGCTAACGTGTTACAGTTTTGGGAGGAAAGAAGGGGACGCCATCCAGAACTCTACCCATTGGCGCAAGAGCCCTGGGAGTGCCTGCGACCCAGGTCAGCGCGCAGCGAGCCTTTTCTGGACTGAAGTTCATTCTATCGTCTCAGAGGGGCCGTCTTTCCCCGGATATGCTTCTTCGGTCAGCTGCCTGACATTGAACAGCGCTTTTACCCACGTCCCGAGGTGCCCTAGCACTAGCTCGTTCGTTTCACACAGTAATGTGAGCCTTTGCTTTCTATTTGTAACATTTTTATACAATATGCATAGTTTATCTTTTGCTCGTCAACTGTTTTTGAAGCATATGAGTACGAACAGGTTCGAACCGGCTTGAACCTTTATTTTTTCACTCCGGAGTTGAACCGGAGCTGAACCGTTCTCCCTGAACCGGAACGAAAAGCGGAACGAAAAACATTTCGGTTCGACAAACTGGGTACAGGACATTTCATCGAACGCCGTTTCATTAAATCACTTGACGCCGTTTCATTGAATTTCCCTTTACTAAATTTTAGAGTAATACAATTCTTTTTGCATAATTTACTATCGCTTTTGAAATAGCTTTGACGCCGCTCTAAATTCACCAGAAATATAATTACTACCCGGTAAATTTTTTGTCCACCTAAACGTTGGCTACCGAATCATAGAAGGTTGCTATCATATTGAAACTTGAGTGGATACGAGACTTATTCTTTTCCGGCGAGGTAGGCGGCTGTTCTCGGCCACTCACATTTTCCCACTTCAACCCTCTATTCATGCGTGAAAGGCACTTTCTTAAGAGGGAAACAGCTATTTTCCGCAGCGCCTTTTTTATTTTGTATTTGTCGATTTAACTTTGTTTTCATTTTATCCTAGGAGAATAGCTTTTTTTTAAGAACATATATGTTCTTAAAAAAAGACGTCTCTGCCCTTTTCGGCAATTTTTTGTAATCGACAGAACCGTGGACCCAACAAATCTTCGACATGCAGTATATATACTGTATGTCGAATATCCGGCAGGTCCACGGTTCTGTCGGTTATAATAAATTAACAAAGAGGGGAGACACGTCTTTTCTTTTCCCCGTATCATGGGCCACGGAGACAGATTACTGCTTCAAGGACGGGTATAACCGTCCTTATGCGAGAATGCATACCACAACTAGCAGCTTTGTAAATTAAAAATGACTAGATAAAAAAAGGGAAGCCGTTTACAACTCCCTGTAACGACAAATTAGAGCGCAGCTCTAGAGGAGGAGGAGGAAAGGGTGTACCCCTCCCCCCTCCCTCCGAGCGGCGTCGCCGTCGGCGTAACTGTGAGGTCACGTGACCCTCCTGAAGGGGGGTAATGTGACCTCGAGAGGTCACGTGACCCAGCGGGGACGTTTCGGCACGGTGCCGGAACATCGCCGCGGTTACGGCGACGGCGACACCGCTCAAGCCGAAAACGGGCGCCTAAGAGCTGCGCTGTAAAAGAAACACCAAAACAGCAGGTGCTCAATAAACAATATGGATACCATTCACTATCACAATTGCGGCTAACCAAGCTGAGGCTAATCGCATAAAATAAAAAATCTAAAAGCTAGAAAGCGTTAAGAAATTGTAGCAACAAAAAGCAAACATACACGTGTGCGTTTTTGCTTGGGCACTGGTGCACGTTCTGGAAGTTGAGGGGCTGGCTGAGTGCTAGGTCGTTCCTGCAGAAGAGGCAAGCTTGACGGAAAAGGAGCAGTCTCTTCCTTTTTCTTTTCTCCCGCTCTTCATTATTCGTTGATAGGTCGGACGTCGCTTCCGGATTTATTTTCTTTGAACTTTGCATCTTCATATGTCACTGAAACAAGAAAGCCGAGCACACCAGTCAAATGTTTAACCACCACAAGCTCGTTTGCGCCCTAACCTTTTGTTCATTAAATCAAATATGCTCGCATTATGCTTAGACAGTTTTTAGGTTAAAGCCTGCCAACTTTTTCGGGCTCATGTATATAATCTGTCAGGATCGGGCCAAGCTCAGGCTTATATTAAACAAAACAAATATTTTGTCGGGCTTGGGCCGGGCTCAAGTTTCTGTCTAAAATTCTGCCGGGTCCGGGCCGGGCCCGAGCCGTGCCTCTTCAAGGCCAAGCCTGGCCGGGCCTGGAAATTAAATATTCTATCGGGCTCGGGCCGGGCCCGGGCCATGCCCCTACCGGGCCGGGTCGGGCCGGGACTAGAAATTCTGGCTCGTGCAGTGCTCTAGCACACTCTACATTAGGTGAGCAGAGCCCGCGCCCTGCTCTAAGCAGAGCGCGGCTCTGCTTAGAGCCTATTTCTCTGCCCCAAGGTTCTCAACTCCTTGCTCAGGGTACTCAATGGCATTTGTGGCTCGTTTTCCTTGACTGGGCTCGCTTTTTGACAATATCCCTGATTTTTCCCGGTAATTAAAATATTCTTGACTATTCCCGGTTGCTAGACACCCGCTATACTTACAACATGATGCCATCACCTCACAGGAGAATGTGGCCCAGTCAGTAAAGGGCTCTTCACGCTCTCAATTGCCATCATCAACCGATTTGATCTGTAGGGTGGCCATGCCGTGCGGCCATTGGACGCCCAACAGGTGGGAACAACTGCAACATCATTTTCCGCCAAAAAATGGACCACAGAGTACATTTCCTGAAATCAACAAATAAAGCAACAAATAAATGGACAACAGAGTACATTTCCTGAAATCAACAAATCAAGCCTGTATTACCTCAAAGGCCACTCATAAGCCACGAAAAATACAGTTTTCGAATTAAGCACAACCAATGTGCAACGGTTGCAAACATTGATCCCACTTGCAAGTGAAGTAGAAGAAAAACTGCATAGCCCTGGTTATATTGCAAGCAGACGCACTTCCACCTGATGTCCTGCACACTCCACACTGAATACTACTTGGAGAGCCCTGTAGCTCTAAAAATTCCTAGCTCTGATGATGGCAACTTTGAAGTATAAAGGTTGCTGAGATTCCGGAAAAACTTTCCGCAGATGCTACGGTTCCCATCCGACTCAATGAAGGATGGATGGATGGATGGATGGATGTTAATGGCTATTCCCTTTGTAACGGGCGGAAGCTTGCGCCACCTAGCCTAAGTCTAAAAAGACAAAAACGTGATTCCTCCCGCCCTTTTAAGACCAATTTTTCTCCCCCTAACTATCACCAGGCAGTGTGGGATATCACCAGGATGACCTTCGGGGGATCGGGCAAAAAAACTAAAAAACATCACCCCCCTGCCTCTTCCCCCCGGCGAGGGAGTCGCCAATTTTTCTCTGGTCAAACCATTTCGGCGTTACCCCAGCACCGGACCCACTGGGAGACAGGGTTGAGACTTTGGGCCGAAACCACGCGGGAGGGAGTCCCAATTTTCCTCTGTCCCGCCTGTTCCCAGCTGTGCTAGTTAGTTGCCCATCATTTAATTTTCCCTAGATAATTTCCACCAATTTTCTAATCGTCTCTTTGTCGCTGTAATCTTTTTCTCTACCGTCCTTCCATCGTCGCCAGTTTACCCCAGGGTCCCGGCCAAATCCGTTACCCCTTCAGAGAGGGCAGGACGAAGCTCCGTGCACTTCAAAACCAAGTGATCCAGTGTCTCACTATCATTATGGCAGGCGGCACATAATGTGTCGGTCTCCTGAAATTTAGCCCTATACGTCCTCGTCCTCAAAACTCCCGTTCTTGCCTCGAACAGCAAAGCACTTCCCAGTGAATTGTCAAATAGCTTTTCCTTTCTTATCTCCTGCTTTCGTGACCTGTACACTGCTAAAGCTGATTTCTCCTGCATTCTCCCCTCCCACATTTTCCTCTCCGCCTCTTTCACCTTCTTTTTCACTGACGTAGTCTGTTCTGCCCCATCACCAGTGTGCAGATATTTAAATGTAAGCTTTCGGGTTCGGTTCGTCCATTTTGTGTTTAAACTTTTCATGTATAAATACTTGAATACCTTACGTGCCCACCGCGTATCCTCCATTTCAGTCAACCTTTGTTCAAATTTCAACTTACTAATTGCCTCCCTGCTCTCAAAAGACAACCATCCCATGTCCCCCTGTACTCCCTCATTTGGTGTTTTTCCATGTGCTCCCAGCGCCAATCTGCCTACGCTTCTTTGTCGAATTTCTTGCCCTGATTGAACCTCAGATTTCATGCACAGCACTGCATTGCCAAAAGACAGTCCTGGCACCATCACCCCCTTCCATATACCTCTGACCACTTCATATCTGTTATAGTTCCATAGTGCCTTGAGCTTCATAATAGATGAATTTCTTTTCCCTTTTCTAATTGTATTCTCCTCGTGTTCCTCTAGATATTTCCTTCCCTCATTGAGCCAGACCCCTAGATATTTGTACTTTTCTACGTGTTCTATCACTGTGTCCTGTATCTCCAGGGGTTCCCCCTTCTCATCGTTGAAAACTATTATACCCGACTTGTCCCTACTGAATTTTAGTCCTAAACTGTCCCCTTCCCTGCTGCAAATCCTAATCAGTTCCTGTATTGTCTCACGGCTTTCTGATACGAGTACAATGTCATCTGCATACATTAACCCTGGCAATAGTTGATTTACCTTATGTCCTTCCTCCATGTAATTCAGGTCAAAACCTAGGTTGCACTGTTCTAACCTTTTTTCCATCCTACTGAGGTATATCATAAAGAGCAGGGGAGACAATGGGCAACCCTGTCTAAGTCCTCTTTTTATTGCTGCTGGTTTTGTAGTTTCGGCTTCCCATACCATAATCACCCTATTCTCCGTATAAACCCGTTCTAGGAACTTAACCGTGGTTCCCCCTAGGCCATACCATTTTAGCTGTTCCCAAAGTATTTCCTGATTCACATTGTCATATGCCCCTTTGATGTCCAAAAATGCTACCCATAATGGCCTTTAGCTTGTCATTGCTATCTCTATGAAGTTCCCAACGACAGCAATGTTGCCACCCTTCAGTTGAACACAGTTGTCGGACGGCTTCAGAGAAAAATGCGCTCCGTCTAAAACAAGCTCACTGCACTGGGTTCCCTTGAAGCTTGGCGGCTCAGGTCCGTCTCGGTGTTGCTTGAGGGTCCATATCACAAGAGAGAATGACATTTTGGCGAACGGCGACATTTGAGCGAATGGTCGTTTTAGCGAATAACGGGGGCGCGCGTTAACCCATCCGTCGCGCTGCGCTTTACGCCGCTTCGCGGCGACAGTCTGCGACAACTCATTACAAAAATATGAACTCGCTTGGCCCACCCGAAAACGCCGCTCCGCGGCGTCCGACTATTCGCTAAAGTGTCGTTCGATGAAACGTGGGCGTTCGCTAAAACGTCATTCGATCAAGTGAGCGCCTCCCGGCTAGGGTCGTCATAGCACAGCTGAGCTTTATGAAGTGTGCATAAAAGCGCTTTTCCAAATGGTTTCTAAGGAGCACTGGCCCGGGGGAACTGACAAGGGGATAAAGGAAAGGGGATTTTGAAGACGGGAGAGGTAACGCGGGAATTCGCAGCGGGGATTTTGACACAGGTGTTTTGAGATTAGGTTATTTCGTGCACCACCCGTATCGCTCGTCTCAGATTCGCACTCGGAAGCTCGTTGGTACTCAAACTCTCCGGAAATCTTGCATGTGCTGCCACGGCCTGTTGTCCAGGTGGCAGAGGGAATGCTTCCTCAGTGTCCACCGACTCCTCACTGCTCGTATCCCAAATTTCAAGTTCCTTGCGAACACTTTCGGCTACCCTACGTCTTTTTTGGCGATCAGATAGCTCTGATAGCGAACGCTTCGCCCGCTCCATTGTTCAGCACAAGTAGCAACAAAAACAAAAATGAAACATACCTTTGTTTACGTTTCCTCCACGCCGAGAGAGCGGCAGAGCGGTCCGATGAAACAGAATCGGGCTTTGAGGGTCCGTTGACATGCGGTCACGTGGTCAACCTGGCCGACCTGGCTGGCGACCTGGCTTCGACCTTGCTTGGCTTGAGCTACTTGCACATCTTGGCTGCATCTTGGCGTCTTGGCTTGTCAACAGTGTGAGTAAACGACTAAATATGAAGTGTCAAGTAGGAATTAACTCTGGAAATTTATCCGACAGTTCTAAATTAAGTTTTCTTTAAGAATTATAAAACATGAGATCGGTTGGAGAAATTGGAAATTAGTATAAGCCGTACAGCCATAACCGTAAAGCCGTACTTGTGCAATCATGGTGGACGGTGGTGATATGGTGATCTTGCAACGCCTTGGAGTGAATCAGTGGATGACCTCGACCGTAATATCGGTAATGATAGTGAACAGTTAACGTCGAAACGGTAGTACCGTAGCTATGCGACTGTGCTGTGCCATTGTGATGTGTCCAGATAACAAATGTAGGCAAAGAGTGGTCCACGCAGAGCGAGCTTCGAAGCCTCAAACTCAAATATTGGAGCTTTATGTCCCGAGATGGTTTGGTTTTGTTCTGACCACTTGTGTCGACAGCTCTTTGGCGAGAAGTGAACGAGGACTAACTATGTGTGTGCGATTATACTCGTTTCATTTTAATTGCGAGCGAAGCAGAAACACACGAGTGACGCACAGTCGCCCGGGCGCTGGAAATATTGTTCAACAATAGTATGCGCTATCATCATCACTCACTCGTCCGCGCGCTTCACTTCTCTTCTTTTACGGTAATGGCCGTGCATGGTCCTTTCGGCCATTCATTTTAAGTGGTCGGCGGAGTGCGTCCGTGTATCCGTGGCCCTTGATGCTGGATCTCCTTCCTACCTGCCCCCCCCCCCCCCCCCCTCTCTCCTCAATCACTGTTCTTTCACCTCACCCCATTCCCGTCCCATCTCTCCTATGTTGCCTTTCCTAACCTTTCCCTCCTCATTTCCTCGCATGATTTAATGCCAGCGGCCCCTTGCTCCCCCTCCCCTACCTCCATAGGATTTTATGTTCGTTGCCTTTAAGCTTTGATCTCGACTTCGGACCCTTGACTGCACCTCCTCGCCATCTCCCCTACTATCTCCTCGGTCTCCTCATTCCTCCCTCCCCTCTTCCTCGACTCTCCCGTCCACCTTCCCCTTCCCGCTACCCATCCACCTCACCTTTCCTCCCCTCTTCCCCCTTCTCTCTCGTTTGAGTGATTTTGTGTTCATGGCCTTTGACCTTTTCTTTTTGGGTGGCAGGTGCATATGGCTCTTCATTTTGAGTGGTCAGGGATGTGTGATCTTGACGTTCGTGCAACCGTGGCCGTGACGTAAAACATCACAGCAATACCTGTGATGTTTTACGTCTTACCTGGCCCCACCCCACTTCATCTCCTCATTCCCCTCCACTCCTTCTCCCCCATTGGTCTCATCTTCCCTCTGTGTGCTCTTCCTTCCCTCTTTCCTCTCCTCCGTCCGCTCTTGCTCCTCCCTGCCCCACTTCTCTTCATCTTTCTCTTCATGCTCCCTCAGCTTTTCATGCTTAGTCCCCTTTTCCTTCCGTCTCCTAACTTCCTTGTGTGAGCGTGTGTTTTCGGCCTTCGACCTTCATAACTGACCTCTTTCTTCCTGCCTCTATTCTCCTTCCCATCTCCTCGCTCACCTTCCCCTTCAACCGTCTCCCTTTTCCCCTCCTCCGTCTATGAGACAATGGCTACTGCCAGTCGTCTCACTCGCAGTATGTTGCAATGAGCAGCCACTTTTTGAGTTTTCCGAATAAATATAGTGGTGAGCTGTAAATTGGACTGATATATGAGCTTCCGCATGTAACTATTTCAAATTTTCAACCAGGGTGTATTTTATACTGCACGCTCCAAGATTTCTCTAAATCTCTATGGCAAGCACTGGCGCAGACAACCAAGACAGGGCGCGAGTAAGAACCACCCAATCGCTCGATTTGACCTGAGTCCGTTGTGAAATTAGTCCTCGCTTCTATTTTAAATAGTAGAAATCATTTTGCAGCAAGCTCGGGTCGGATAGAGTAGTCGGTTGACCCCAAGAGCTCTCTGCGACCTGGCCGTAGGGTAATCATGTTCATATTTTTCACAAAAACAGAGCTACGCTTCGAATATAATGCAATAGAGCACACCATTAAAATACACCTTTGGTGATAATTTCAGCTAGCTATGTGTTCCAAATTAATTTACAGGCTACCACTCATGCCATACTATACATGTTCAGGAGGTCTTTGGGTCGTCATGTCATCAGCGTGAGTTTTCCACCTTCGATAACACAATAACACCCCATGACTTCACGCTCTTGTTATCTTTAGCATGCGTTCCAAAAGCTGGGCATCCGAATGACCCTGACCTGAAAGCAACGATGAGGGTGCATGCTAGCTCGTGAATATTGAGCAGGCTCGCCAATCCGAGACGGGTGAAGGGCCAGGAAGGAAACCAGCTCAAACAGGCAAGTCTTAACAGACTTCTCGACAAGATCTGTTGGTTTGTGTTTTCGTTCGTAGTATGACGAAAACCACAGTAGGGTGCCTTAGTGTGTTTGCGTCTGCTTTAGTGTGGCGACATCAAACCATTTTGTTCACCTTAATTATCGAGTTGATGCTCACTGGACAATTCTATGGCAATGAAATGTAAGCCATGATCATTATCAGTTTACCAGCCTTGCACTACCACTTAGGCCATTATGATGTTAAACTTGATTATAAAATTGTGCAGGGAAATGCCACACACACAAATAAATTCAATTTTATTATAAACCTTTTGGACAGATTTTTTTTTAGTTTTCTGCAATCTTTCTAGAGTACATTTTGAACATTTGTTTCAAACACGCCAGTCACAAGCATTAGAGCGGTCTTTATGTTTGTATAAAAATAAAAATGTTTGAACAAGAAAATCAACATTGAACTATTCTAAGTTTGGTATCTTCGTGTATCTTTGACCAGTCTCTGTGAGATGTGGTGATGTGTCACATTTCGTCACATTAGGCCAACATCGCTGCAAAACATTGCCCGTATGTCAGGATGGAAATGTTACCAAGAGGTTATTTCTAAACGTTGCTCCAATGTTGCTTCTCTAACATTCCTGGAACGTTTGCCTATGTGCTGTAACGTTACATGACGTTCAGTGACAGTCAAACAATGTTGCAGGAGAACGTTCCTGTTACGTTAGTTTTAAAACGTTGCTATAACATACCCAAATGTGCCCCAACGTTACATTACATTTGTGACATTCCAGTAACGTTATGGCAACATATGGTGCTACTAGGGTTCACAACACCTTCGCTATGCGCCTATAGTGACCTCGTTATTGTGCCCGCGAAAGAAGGAGCGCGAAACGGCCTTTTAAATGTCATGCCGTACATGCAGAACGCATTCGCAAAATGTCAAAAAGACGGACAATATTTTTTTATTGCAAGGAAATATATGAATTTGCGTTTTATTGACACGGAAGAATCGAGCATGCTTAGAATAGTGAAATCTTCAATCTCTGGAGCTTCATGGAGGGGCGACGGAGACACCACGGCCTCGGCAGCGGCCTCCTTCACCACAACAGGACGCCTTGCATGGCATCATCGTGAGTCGAAGTGGAACCTACACTCTAAGAAAAAAGATGGTCTCAAAGGACTAACGGCAGCATTTGGTCCTCTGAACTCCCATTTGCTCCCCGAAGAGACCATCTGGTTCGAGCTAGGTACCGTGCGCAAATGCTGGGGACTAACTGTACTCGACCAGGATCGCTAGGTTGGACATTTGAGAAAAGGTACATGGAAGTGACGTAATGCAAAGGAGGAGCGTATCCTAGCAACACTCACGTGGCGGCTCTGCCCACTTTGACGCCGCTATGTCATCGCAAACTTGACACCCGTCACCCGTTTCAGCGACGTCCGGAGCCAACCACCGACGAGCGGAAGTAGCTACGCATTCCCTGAGGCGTCCCTACGCGCGGGATACGGGGTAGGATTTACTACGACGCGGGGAGCAGTTCCTGCGTTTAGCGAAGGAACGGCAACCAATCCTGTGCGTCGCTGGCCGTCGCATCTGTTCTAGTACAGGTAAAAGTATAGAAAAACAATCAAAACCTTTTGGGCGTTGTTAAAACAAACCGCTTTTTTGTACCTTTTTGCAATACATTTAAGAATTAATTGGTGAGAAAGTTGTTCCAATATTATGCGGGATGTGCGCTACGCGCCTTCTTCAAGCCAAAATGTCGAACCACGAGGAGCCGGGTGTGCCGGGGCAGCGGAGGGGTCGGCGGAACCAACGGGGAGCGCGCGAGTGACGGCTGCTTTAGTCAGAAACAATTTTTTTATCTTTCGAGAACTTGCTATTGCTGTGCTCAAATAAGAATGTTTGGCGCAACATCTGTGATAATTCTTTCAAAGTGGTCCAGTGTTTATATGGTGGTATGCTAGTCAGAGAATATATATATATATTTTTTCCTTTCGAAATTTAACTATTGTGCTCAAATAAGACCAGAGTGTTCAACAAGATATCTGGGATATATACTTAAGATTGCCCAATTGCTTACATGGTTCCAGTCGATGCTCAGTTTTACTTCCAAGAATGAAATATTACATTCCATGTTATCACACTTTTATTCATGAAGTCACAGGTTTTTCTTTAAGAAATAAAGCAATTTTCAAAACAAACTACATGTGCACTGTCTTGAGATAACACAATCACCTAACTTTGATGAAGTACCATAAAAGAGATAATAAAATGGAGCAGAAGGCAAGACGCTTTGAAGCATTTGTAAAATGAAACAATGTCCATGACAACAATATCCCTGGTTCAATCAGCAACTAAGAAAGCAATATCTGCAAAAGCAAGCATTTCTTTCTAGAGGTAGTCTAAATTACTTCTGAGTTCTTTGCAGGGGCAATCCAGATGATTTGTTGGTCTGGCGACTAAACCTCCGAACCTTTTCTGTCACTGTCGACTGCGTCTCGTGCCTTCTGCTCATAAGAATAAAAAAAAAGGCTGTATCGATTTCACCGCGATGCACTCGACACGTATCCGGAAGCAGCACGCTGGCTGTGCGACGAACTTCACAAGGTGTAGGAGCTGAAGAGAGTATGTAGCTTGTGGACGGCCATGA